TCATGAGTACATTTTGGAGGGAAATGTTTAAACAATCCGGTATTAACCTCCACATGAGCACAGCTTACCACCCCTAATCGGATGGCCAATCCGAAGTAGTCAATCGGTGTGTTGAGACGTATCTACGGTGCTTTGCTGGACAGCAGCCTAAGCAATGGCCCAAATGGTTAAGTTGGGCAGAATATTAGTTCAACATGACCTTCAATAGATCCTCCGGTATGACTCCATTCCGAGCCTTGTACGGTAGAGACCCACTAGCCCTTATCAAGTACTATGAACATGCATATGTTGTTGAGGCAGTGGATACCCAAATGACAGAGAGAAACCGCATCTTAGATGAACTCAAACTAAATCTGTCTAAGGCTCAAGAATCCAAAAAGGCCTATGCGGATGGAAAGAGGAGGGTTGTTCAATTTGAAGAAGGGGACTTGGTTTACTTGAAACTCAAACCGTATCATCTAAAATCCTTGGCACGAATGCCTAATGAAAAACTCAGCCCTAGGTTTTATGGTCCCTATGGGGTGTTAGCAAAAGTTGGTCATGTGGCCTATCGATTGAGACTTCCGGACACCACTCGTATCCACAACGTTTTCCATGTATCGCAGCTAAAACCGATCACTTCACACCCAGTTCTAACACTTCCTCTTCCACCCTTTCTAGATTGCAATATGGTGCTTCAGGTGGAACCCGAGCAAGCCCTGTTCAAACGACGACTAGTTGATGGCACCTATGAGTTCTAATCAAATGGAAACAACTGTCAACTTGTGACAATACTTAGGAACCTTATGAAGCTATTTACCATCAGTTCACATCCTTCCATCTTGAGGACAAGGTGGCACTTCTTGGGGAGGGTAATGATGGACCCTACATTTCAAAGTGGTACACACGCAAGGCAAAGGCACAAGACAAAGGGTCAAAAGGGGGAAAACACATTAAGACAAGTGGCTAGGCAGAAAATGCATTGAGACAGGTGGCTAGGTAGTTAGTTAGGATTGGGATTTGGGTGTCAGAATAAAAGGGGAAGAATGGGCAGAGAAGCAACCTTCTGAAATTGGTGTATTGGTCTGTCCTGGAAGGTGCTAGCCCTTGAAGACCAACTTATATTTTTCTTTTTTTGTTTCCAGTTGTTATTTGGTTATTTGGGTCTGTTGAACATAATTCTTAACCTTTAATAGAATCGTTTGAATTCCCTTGTCTAGTTATTGTTCTGGTTTATATTGGTTATTGTTCTAGTTTATATTGATGTGTGTGACGTCTGGTGTTGCTGTGGTTGTGTGGATTGTTTGGAAGTTGTGTTGCGAGTAAGGAGTTCCAATAGAGGTATCCATCAATTTACTTTTGATTTTTTATTACTGCAAATATAAAGCTTTCAAGTAAAAACATAGAAGAAGATGAATAATTTTTTTTTTTTTTTTTTTTTTTTTTTTNCATGGGTGGTCATTCTGGGCTCTTCCGTACTTACAAACGACTATCCTAAGTTGTATATTGGGAAGGCATGGAAGGGGACATCCAAAAGTTTGTTCGCAACTACTCTCTATGACGGCTAGTTGATGACACCTATGAAGTTTTGATCAAATGGAAACACCTGTCAACTTGTGACAATACTTAGGAACCTTATGAAGCTATCTACCATCAGTTTCCATCCTTTCATCTTGAGGACAAGGTGGCACTTCTTGGGGAGGGTAATGATGGACCCTGCATTTCAAAGTGGTACACATGTAAGGCAAAGGCACAAGACAAAGGGGGAAAAGGGGGAAAACACATTGAGACAAGTGGCTAGGCAGAAAATGCATTGAGACAGGTGGCTAGGTAGTTAGTTAGGATTGGGATTTGGGTGTCAAAATAAAAGGGGAAGAATGGGCAGAGGGGCGACCTTCTGAAATTGGTGTATTGGTTTGTCCTGGAAGGTGCTGGCGCTCGAAGACCAACTTATATTTTTCTTTTTTTGTTTCCAGTTGTTATTTGGTTATTTGGGTCTGTTGAACATAATTCTTAACCTTTAATAGAATCGTATTTGAATTCCCTTGTCTAGTTATTGTTCTGGTTTATATTGGTTATTGTTCTGATTTATATTGATGTGTGTGACATCTGGTGTTGCTGTGGTTGTGTGGATTGTTTGGAAGTTGTGTTGCAAGTAAGGAATTCCAACAGAGGTATCCATCAATTCACTTTTGATTTTTTATTACTGCAGATATAAAGCTTTCAAGTAAAAACATAGAAGAAGATAAATAATAGATTTTTTTTCTTTTTTTTTTTACAATTATATGTCCATTTAAACTTGAATATGGGGTTGAAAAATAAAAATAATGATGGCTACAAAATCACTTGCCCTTTTCATATCTTCAATTTGTAAAACAGATAGTGTTTTGGAAGAGAGAGAATGGGTAAAAGGTTGAAATGTATAAACCTTAGGCCCAACCTGGGCTTGCCCGAGCCACACGAATTTGTTTCCAAAATGCAAGCCCAAGCCTGTGGCAGACCTACCGAGTTGGCTATATGACAAAAGGGGTTTTTATAAATTTTACTTCATAGGTGAGAGTCAGATTAATTAATAGGAGTTATTCATAATTTTACATTATGAGTAAACGACCTTTTCCCACCCAAGGCTTTCCTTAATGACCCTTCTCCACCCAAAATGTTTCAAAATACCATTTTCTCACCCAAAGTTTATATTCTGACCAATAGCCGGCCGATTCCGACATCTTTGCAACCTCACACCACCATTATTTTTTTCCCTGATCATCACTCACTAAAACCCCTCAAACCTTGCTCCCGTCAACCTCGTCAATCGTCGACAATCGAGCGATTTGTGAAACACATAGCTGCTCCTCCCAAGTCAAATTCCGACCAATCTTGACTACCAAAATCCAACATGTCACCACCAAAACACTATCTGACATTCTCTCTTTAAAAATCCTAACAGCCTGGACTGAGTTTTCTCTCTGTTGGCTGTCAAATCAGAGTGTATTGTGGATAGTAAACGGAATATAAACTTTGGGTAAGAAATTTGTATTTTGAAACTTTTTGAATGGAAAAATGCCATTAAGGTAAACGTTGGGTGGGAAAAAGTCGCTTTACTCTTTACTGAACTAGTTTTCAGGGGCTCCCTGTAATATTGTAAAACCTCATCTAGAATGCTTAACAAAGATGTTAAAAAAAATCAAAAATTGAACAGAAACTGAACTGGAAAACTGGTTTTTTGAAAACCGATTTGGTTTATGTTGACAAAATTGGCTGAACCGGTTTTCCAGTTCAGTTACCGGTTCAGCCAATTTGGGTTAACCCGAACCGGTTTTAAAAACATTGGTTTTCTTTTTTAAATTTCTAAATCTAATTTTAATCTAATTCAGTTCATAACTGCGTAACTCCACACTCCGCAGCTCACCCTCACCAGAAGTCTTCACAAAATCCATCTATGGCAGGACGACACTCTTCATAGTTCATTCAGCTTCTTCAGTCTTCACAAATTCCATAACTTTGCACATCCAGTCACCGACTTCACAAATTCGGCTGCTCTTCACAACCAGTCACTGCCGCCCGCCGGTTCGTCGGAGTCCACACAACTCTTCACAAATTCCGTCAGAGTCCGCGCGCCTGCTCTTTACTTCTTCAATCTTCAGTTTCTTCACAAATTCTGCAACTCACCGTCGCCAGTCACTGTCGCCGATCTGTCAAGCTCACGTGTCCAACTTATCCGACAACCGCCGTCTGCCGATTCCAACTCCAACAGACACCGAAATGGTTTCTTTCCATTCTCTTACTGAAAGGGTATCTTTTTCTCTAATGCCTTGTCATCATTTCATCATCATCAATTTGGATTTGCATCTGGTGTAGCATTTTTAAATAAAAATTGCGATTAATTGGCAACTTAATAATAAAAAAGAAATAGCTTAAAAACCAAACTTATATCAACCGGAATTGCAATCCCAGCCCCAGGCTCTCCTGCTTTGGCCTTATTAAGTTTAATTTTTTTTATTTAAAAGCTCTTTCAAAACCGGTTAACTGCCTTTACGGTTCAATTTAAAACCAGTTCAAGCAATCAACCGATTCAATTTCGATTAAGATTTTTGCTTGAACCGATTTTCCGATTCGATTTGAAAAAATGAACCGATTCAATCCAATTAACCCGTTTTAAACACACTTAATACCTAGACCTGGTTATCAAAGCCTAGGTTTAGCCGTTTTAAACACTCTTAATACCTAAACCTGATTATCAAAGCCCAGTTTAGGAGATGATTATTTAAGCTTATAAGTTCATCAAATCACTTATAAACTCTAAAATTAAATTAATTTGTTTGTTTATAATTTTTTTAGATTTATGAGCCACACAAAAATAAGTTGAAAAAACGTACTTTTTTTTTTTTTAATTTGTAAATACTTTGTTTATAAAGTATATTACCATATTATTTTTACTTAATTCATTATATTTGTTCGATTATTTTGTATAAAGAATCTAAAAGTTATTCATATAATTTCTTAATAAAATATTTATCTTTATTTAATTCTAAAATTAAATTAAATTATGATATTATTGAAATATATTTTCATAGTATCATAGTAAAAAATTGAGTTAATATAATTTATTATTTGACAAAATAATGTAATATCTCTTTTAATCATTTTAATGACAAAATGTTTTATCAAATATTCAATCAGTATTTTAGGATTCACGTAACAGTTTAAATTTCAAATGTTTATAAAATTGAATTACCTAACTACTTATAAACTAATTTTTTTATAAACTGAACCAAACAAATCTAAGTTTTATATCCTCATTATAAATTCTTAAAAAGAAACTGATGCAACTTTGCTAGCCAAGGTCGAACAAAATAATTTTATTCGGTTTAAAGTTGAGTTGAGATTGAACAAAATATAAATTTTATGCACATCATTTAATTTGGTTTGTTTGCAAACTATATTTATATATCACCCAAATAACCTTTTATCTATCTATTACTATAAAAAACAGAAGCAACGCTGAATCTCAACCAACCAAAAAGAAGTAAATAAACAAATAAATGATGAGAACAAATTGAAACCTATAATCCACACAAGAAAGCTGGTGATGGGCCGAAAAACCTGTAAGATTGAGAGTGCACAAAAATATTTCAGACGTCAAATCTTATATTTGAACTCTTCAACACAAAAGGCCATGCAAACCTGGTAGGTAGGATATCCATCTGCTGTATGATTTCACCCGTTCCTTTGACACACACACACACCGCAGAAAATTGGGGAAGACAAGTTCATTCAATAACACGTCAGCTTTTGGGGGCAAATGCAGCTAGGGCATTAGCATGTGCAGGTGAGAGGTTACTCAGCAATGGTTGAATTTGTTGGCCATACACAGAAATCAGATGAGAAAAAGCCCTTCCGACTACAGCCTTTACTTCACAAGTTTCGTCTGAGGAAACCACTACTTGGGCAAAAATATTAACCAACTCCGGAACAAGTGAAAGGATCTGTTTTACATCAAAAACAAATGACATCACTGATTACTGATTACTGATGGAAATAAGATTTATAAAGCACGTAACTTCAGTGCTGTGTGCATATAAGCTATATAATATCACAAATACAAAAACCTGGGGATTTGATGACAAAACCAGAGTGGAAACACAACTATAAACAGCCATTGATTCCTCATGGTCTTCCTTTAGAGGAAGAACCTTCAGGAAAACAGGAAGGACCTAGGAACATAGCATAGTGAAGAGCATAACCACAGGAGATATAATTAGCTTACTTTGTAGTCATGAAAATACACAAGAAAAAGTAAATTAAAATATAAAAGCCAATCAACCAAAATTAACCTGATTCAGTGGGACGGACTGAGGATGCACCATTATCATCCTTGCCACAGCACCAGCTGCATTATCCCTAACAGCATCATCTGGCTCACAATCCCCAAATAATGGGTAAAGTCCCCGCAAAATGTCACCATAGTATCTAGTATACATCAAAGGAAAACATGTTGTAGTTCGACAACAGATGAGTCGATTACAGGTTAAATTCAATAGTTACTAACACTTCATTACTGGATCTTATGATGATTATTTATACAAGGATACTTCAAACTTAACTCGCCCCCATTTTTGCACAACTCCCCAACACAAAATGCTGCATTCCTCCTGTTAGTTGCTTCTGATGACGCTAGTTCTTTGAGTACCAAAGGCATCACTCTCTGAGATATTACATAAACCTTCAGGAATTAGCTTGCATTGTTCCAGAAATCACTCAAGACACACAGTTGAATATGTATATCAGAGTTTCAGAAAAAAGTACATCAACATAGCCTGCAATTGGAGCACCCATGTCCTGAGCAACTTCAGCAAGGCAAGCAACCACCATGGTCTGATCTTGTGGAGGACGCGAAGATTTCTGCACTTGCATATAATCAAATAGTGAGCTGCAATAAGGAAATCAAACTATGCATGGGAGAAACACATGACATAATTATCAATCCTCAACAAACCGCGAATTTCATTAAAGGGTCAAATAGCTTTGCAAAGATGGGTGCAAAGTGAGGACCCATTGACTTTGCAAATGCAGGAAGAAGGTCAGACACTGCATCCATAAGCACTTCATCATGTTCAGTATCATCCTCATCAATATCACTATCATTATCCGATTGCTGACAAGCAGATTCCTCCCGCAGAAGCCGCAAAGTTGCATCAACCAACAAAGACATATCTGTGATCAAGTCACATAATAATTCAGTTGCCCATAAAGATATTTAATCTGGCAGCCAGAGAATTTTTCACCAATAGAGAAAATGAAACCAACTTAATTCAAACTTACAAGGCTCAATAGCAATGTAACCATAATCCTTGATGATTTCTACAATGCTCATACAGGCTTGAGCAACAACTTCTTTGTCGTCATCTTCGGTCATAGTCTTGATAAATATATTCATCACAGTATCTGTGATCATATAGAACTCATTACCACTACAAAACAAAGCTATTTGATAAATCCAAAGAACTAATTCATGCCACTTCAGAGGTAGAATTCTTACCAAGAACTGCTCTTGCCTTCACTGGTCCTTCCTGTGCAACAGAAAAAAGATTGCATCATGTTATACACTTTACAACTTACAATACTGAAATTAGCTTCAAACCTAAGGTGGCTATCCAAAAGAGTACTTGTACTCTACCTAGAATTGACAACAATCCCACACTACCCATGGGAACAGAAAACATTATAAAAGAGAGAGACATACCAAAACAAACTATTAAACAAAGAACAAAAAATGCTACACCACACTCACATTATGACTCTGGAAGATAGCATGTGCTGCTGTCAAGATATCTGCAATAACAAATCAATCAACATGAGTTGTAATAGTAAATTTAACACATACAATATGTCCACTATGCAAACGGACATAATAATAGCAAATCTTTAACATTGATGTGTCTTAAATTTTCCAAATTTCTAATATCACGTGTGAACTGAAGAAAGACAACCTGTCAGTGATTAGCCTGTTGGACAATTTTTCAATTATATCATCATAGAACAAAGGAGTACAGTAACACATGCGAGAGGGAAAAAAAAAAACCTAGTAAGGCACATAGACTTAGGACATTAGAACATAATCATAAGCATAGACTCAATATTCAATCGTCAATTTCTTTCTTTCCTTTACTTATATCCCCAAAGAACTCCACAATTTTTCTCATATCTGTATCTAACATATTCTAATTTTTCGTGAAACTATGTCCTTGCAGTGACACTCCTCTACTTCCACCATTTGCCAAAACTTCTACTACAATTATGATGCCCAAGCAACATATTTTAAATTTTAAACAGAATAAGCCACCATTTAATGAAATTAGAATTTAACAAGATAAAGCAATAATCTGAAACTTCCCTTACCAAAGTCTCCGATGAAAAGGCCTAGACATATACGAAATTAAGAAACCTTATGTCTATTTTTATCTCTCCTCTTGTTTCTATTTTTTCTCTCTACTCTCTGTTCTCTATTACTTCTCTGTCAAACTTCTATCTAATTTAAATTCTTAGGCCCTATTTCTCTCTATATTAAGCTCTATTTTCTCATTCTTTCTCAACTATTCTTTCTCATCAATTGCAGTCAAAGCTCTTTCTCCTATATCATCCATCAACCTATTTCAAATTCAATAATCGTAACAAATCAAAATCTTATTTTCTTTTAATTTTATTTGATTTTAAATCTCAGGAAATTTTTCATTCCATTTTTTCTAATAATCAACAATAAAAAACACAATCATTAACCTATATATATATATATATATATATATATATACAAGGATGTCCTTATATTAATTTTAAAGGGACCATGCTTGAATACCATTGAATTCATCATCATTAGCCTGAAATGACATTCTATAGATGAATCCAATGACATTCAAATATAGTCCTTATAAAATTAATATAAGGATGTCATTGCTAGAGAATTACCTTAAACACACACACATACAGTTAAACTACAAAAAAGCTCAAATTATATATTTTTTATAAATAGAAAGATATATTCTACAATTCCAAAATTTTAAGAACTGCTGTACAACATTATATTTCCAAAATGTCATGCCACATCACTGATTAATGCTTCATATCTCTTAGTTTCTTATTTTCTGTTTTTTCCTTTTGTTCCAGGGTTAGGGTACTTAAAAACATTCAATGTTTGGAATTAAGGAAAGAGGAGCCAAGAGAGAATTTAGTCTGCAAAACTAAAACAGAAAATTGGGGCAACACAGAATATAAATATCCCAAATTACAAGGTTGTATATTTACTGTCAATAATTTCAAAAAAGACTACAGTTATCATGTATTATATGTTTTGGACAAGCATTGTTTTGCATGTGAAGTTTATATTATCTGACCAAGTAAAAATCTGCCTCAAATTTGTTCAATGCTTATGCTTTCTTAGACAACACCAGGAAGAATTCATAATAAAATAAATAAAAAGATTTGATCCTCAGACCGAGAATATGGGGAGAAATAGTTGATACTCACGCTTCAAGGAAATGACAGCCTGAAGCCTAACATCTTCGTGAAAATAGCCTGAATGTCTCACCAAAATCTTTAATGACTCCTCCAAATAGCTTGAAACAATTAAAGATCTCAAGAAAAATGATCTGATTTCTAATGCATATCTAAAATTTGGCAATGTTAAACAGGGAAAAAGGGGAAACAAATAAACATGACCAAAAAAGGATACGGTGCATAAGAATTCTTTGTATGCAGTGCAAATAAACCAAGTGCTTGAGTTGCAGCTGCCTTCTCATCCAACACTCCCGTTCTAATACTGATATTCCGAACTCTTGGCTCATAATGAGCTTCATCATCAGATGAAACTCCACCAAATCCATTAATATTTTCATCATCAGAGTCATCGATGTCCACGGCAGAACCATCATCAAGATTACAGGAAGAAAATGCCAGGGGAACAACATGAGGAAGATACTGTTATCCAAAAGAAATTTTAACATGAACATAAGTGTTATGGAATAACCACACAAGTTCAATTTAAAGCAACACCATGTACACCTGCTTAAACCCATCATCCAGTATTTCTGCTACATTGCTAAAAAATCCATGAGTATACTCCCGAAGTTCACTGAATCCCAGTCCAAAACCCTGAGAATAAAGAATGTAAATCATTTACTATGTCAGATATGATAATTCCTAGTCAAATACTATTGTCAACGCAAATTACAGAGATTGCAGCTTCAATGTAAGGTGGCAAAATCGGTTCCATTCTTGCTCTTCCAACAGACATTGCAACTATACCAAGGAGCTCTGTAGCCCTTGCTCGTGAACGCAGGTCCTCATCATTGGTAAGCACCATGAAAGTTTTCAGTAACTCGAGAACCCTTTCAGCATATGGAATGAAAGCATGCTCTGCAGCAGCTGCCACTGAACCAATTGCAGACTGCAATAACATACATAAAAAACAAAATTAAATAGAAAAATTAACAAATGTGGAAAAAATCCATCATATTCAAACTAATTGTGCACAATCCTAGGGAGTCATATGATTCATCTTTATACCATGCAAGTCTCCTGCAAATTGCGGGGACTATTTTGGAGGGCTGCCAGTAGCTTCCCCATCAAAGGATCAAGAAAAGGAAGAATCTCTTCACCCATGTTCTCACAAAATGCTGCCAAAGCATAGTATGACTTTTCCTGTGGAAAAAAAATTATTCAATATCCCATACAAAGAAATATAATCTATAACAATTCTTCTTCTGATATGCACCTTTACTTCGTCAGATGTATCCTCTAGGGCATTCAAAATGCAGGGAAGAACACTTTCATAGTGAGATATGATTTCAGGCTGCAAATGCTCAGCAAATTGGCCCAATGCAAATGAGGCAGCTCCTCTAACCATCTGCTCTGGATCCCTCAGAGCCCCCAAGACAATTTGAAGAATAGGTTCCATCTTATCTTTCATCCACTCCACACAACCCTCTGAAATGACACCTAAAGCTGTAACAGAAGCTTCTCGATACTTTGGATTTGCATTTTGACTGCTTAAAGAAGCAAATTCAAAAACAGGGGGGAACACATGCTTTGAGAGGCTCAATGCCATAGTGTCAATAACTTCTGCAGCAGCTCGATCTGGAGCAAGGTCATCATCTTCATCTGCATCGTTTGATTCAGCAAACAATGGGCACATGACTTGCAGAATAGGGACAACCAGCTTATGCTTTTTTAAAGAGTTGGATTTGTACTTAGCCAACCAGGAAATTATCTGAATAGCCTGATAAATTACACAAAGCAAAGTAAGTAAGCCAACTAGAATTCTAAACACAGACATGAAACTTCCAGTACAGCTCCAACCCAACCAAGTAGGCCATCCAGAATAAGAAAAACCCAATAAAATAAATATCGTGGTCACTCTGAACCTGATGACGTGTGTTGGATTCCAGATTTTGGCTTGAACTAACTTCAAGAGAGAATTGCACAATGGATTTGACAGAATCCCCAAGAAGAGGTGCAGGAGATTCAATCAGCTCGTCAAAAATTTCAAAAGCAATTACTGCAACATCTTCTTCACCAGAGGCCAGACATTGTCTTGACACATTTAAAATACTAGGAATGAACTCCCGAAACCTCACCTGAAAAGTTAAGAAAAAATAATTCCAGTTAAAGTTAAAAATTAAAAGAAAAAAAAAATTACAACCTCAACTTTATAAAACCAACTTATAAATAACAAAAACTCATAAGAGTTCTTTACATTTAAAGAATTGCTCAATGCCACAAAAATAAATTTCATCTCAGTAAATTCCATTTACATGGGGATGTCTATGTGTATGAAACTTCAATTTTAAACATGAGTACTTGGCACTTCATATTTTAAAGAATTGCTCAACGCCACATAAATAAATTTCATCTCAGTAAATTTTGTATAACTTTCTGTACCCATCAAGCGGTGCATCAATCTTTTATTGCAGAACTGAAAACAATGACAAGAAATAAAGGTCTAGTGCATGTTGGCAGAAATGTATATTACAATCACTTAACAAACAATATGCAAAGTAGTGTCAATATATTTGCAAACAACTAACACCAAAATGGAGCAGATCTTATGAAGTCAGGAAATCAATAAGTGCATACTAAGAAAACAAGATCATAAAATTAGTTTCTGAAACATAGATCATTTACTAACAGAGACAGTAAAACTCACCACATCAGCCCCATCATTTGTGAATTCTAGAAATGATCCCACTGCCCTGGTAAATTGGGAAAATGAATGTTGTAAGCAACCATATAATAATTTATTTAACAATAAAAGCACCTAAAATTTCACAAAATTATGATTTAAGACTTCAGTATTACTTCAGAGCAGCAATTCTAACACGGTTGCTTGTCTCATCCTGTAGGCACTTGAGTAATAGAGCTTGCAAATCAGCAAAATGTGGTTGAAATGCACTTCCAATTGTTTCAGTTAAAGAGCTAAAAAGGATCAATGCCACCTAATACAAGGAAAGGCAAAAAAATCACATGTGTGAGTCTTCAAATAATATATGAATAATTCATGACAGGAAAAAGAAAAAAGAATATTTGGATAATCCAATTAAGAATTTACCAGTAGTAGTGATGATTCTAGCATACAAGATAAAAACAAACAAATTTTATTATATATCATCCTCTTGGGAAGATATGAGGAAAAGGAAATCTCAGGAGAAGGTTTTTTTTCTATTGTAAATTGTAGAAACAAAGAAAGAATTGTTTTTCACTCTTATTTACTACAGAGGTAAAGAATCTATATATATTTTCTACTTCTTCTAAGTGCAAGACAACCCCAAGGGTTGCGGGTCTTTTTCTACCAATTGGAGCCTCAATAAACCTCCCAAATGGCATTTTCTTGAAACCCAAATCTATTTTCTCCTTATTAATGGCATGAAAATTTATGGGTAGCAAAGTTCTCTAGAATTTATTTTAGATTCGAACTCATAGCAGATGACTAAACTGAAATAGAAATGTTTTGTTCCCTACTAAAACAAGCCCATATCCTTGCTTTCCTATCAATCACAAATTCTAATCTTCCTTCCCAATCTGATATTATGTTGCCCACATAGAGTGAAAGCACATTGTGGTCCAATTCTGACAGCTAATAGATATTTGGGCTTTACAATATTTGATAGATCACAATTATATATTCCATTTATCGTAGAGTTCCCAAGGAATTCATTTGAAGAATGTTCATTCCATCACTCAAACTAAAAAGAAAATAAAGTTTGCTTTCAATTTAACCCCAAATATATAATTAATAAATCACAACATAATTGATTACTCAACAAACTCCATCGCACGCAAATATTTTCCAGAAATACAACCTTTAGTGAAAACCTTTTTTCTAAAATAAATAAATAAATTTCTTTTAAATAGATACTTCTTTGCAAGCTGCTATTAAAATTTATTGCCCCGATGACACTTAACCTATGTAGCTTCGAACAGCAAATATGTAAGAACAGTTTTCTTTAATTTCATATTTATACTTCAAAATGTGTTCCTGAAAATAAGAATTGTGAATAAATTACATCAAAATATCAAATATGGATACCAAACGCCAACATGATGCAAAATATAAAAAACCATGATTTAATCTTATACAAAATTCATAAAGTTCATGGTCAAGATTATGCATCCTATTAAAAGATCAAAAAAAATATAACTATAATCATGTGGGAAACTGTTTGATCATGTCAAGTAACAAGTATTCAGAAAGGTTACAGTGTGATGTCCTTACTTCTCTATGGTCTTCCTGTACACTCTGACTACAGTGGAATAAGAAGGGCAACAACTCAGGCCACTCACCTACTGGCACCGCATATTTGGCAATTATACTCACAACATTTGCACTAGCACGCCTCACAGGTGGACTGCAGAGATAAAAAGTAAAAAAAAAAAAATCATAATTCAGTGAACAAATATGTTTGATTTTGAATAAAATGGGGTATGAATTGAACCTGTGCTCAATGGTGATGCTCTCAATGAGAGATTGCTTGACGAGGTGCTTGAGCTGAGGAGAAAGCTTGGCCCAGTGTCCAGTGATCTTCTTGCGTAGGAGGACAGCAGCCAGCTGGCGGACGTTGGGAGTCTTGGCGGTGCGGAGATGTTGAATTAAAGCAGGAACCACCTGAGGATCCTTAGCTAGCCTCTTTATCTGCTCCTCCGCTTGCCGTCGAGCGTCGTTGTCTGGCATTAGAAACTGAATCAACAATAATTCTAGGGATTGCGCCATTTGTTTTACCTTTTGCAGCTCAACTTGAAAAAGACCAAACCCTACTACTCAAGAAGGCTACAGGTGCAGGGGATTTGCCTTTGCTTGGTATTTAAGACTTTAAAAAGAGACTGGGGTTTTGTACAGGCTACAGACACACAAATTCATATGTTTATGGGATCTTAACAAGGACACCGAAAATTTTACACCGAAAATGTGTACCGGCTTATGTGTAACACGCATCTGTTTTGTTTAATAATTTTTTTTCTAGTGAACGGCGTCCATTAAATTTAGACAGTCGTTCACTCACATGGACGTTGTCCATATTATAGGCGGACGTCCATATATAAGGGACGGGCGTCCCCATTTAAAGGACGCCCGTCCATACTTTAAAAAAAAAAAAACGTTTTGACGGGCGTCCATACTTTAAAAAAAAAAAATCGTCTCTTCCTCTTCATTCCCTAGTCTAGGTTCTCCGTTAGTTCTTCATCTGAAAATTTGTTGTACAAGAAATTTGTTGTACAAGAAATTTTATTGTAAAACTAAGGTGAAAAGAACACATCCCACTGTGGTACTAGTTTTCGTTTCTTGTCTTTTGAAATCATATCAACACTTCTGCAAATTTAGATTGTCTTATATGTTGGGATTTCAGATCCTTGAAGGAAGTCATATAAGCTACCGTATCTTTGGATTGGCGTAGTTAATTGCTCTCAAGCTGATATCAACAAAAGTGTTGATATGATTACTGCTTGACGTAGAGAGCGGGAGTACTTTGCAAACAGCCCAGAATATAGTCATCTTAGTAACAGGATAGGTTCTGAGTATCTTGGAAAGGTGCTTTCTAAGGTATGAAATTTGATGCAATTATGTTGGTACATGAGAACATAGGCGCTGGGAAATGAAGAGGAAGAAGACGAATTCTAAGGTATGAATTTTGATGCAATTTAGGTGGGTACATGAGAATATAGGCGCTGGGGAATGAAGAGGAAGAAGACGAAATATATATATATATATTTTTTTTAAAGTATGAACGGGCGTCCCTTCCTAATGGACGCCCGTCAAATGTTTTTTTTTTAAGTATGGACGGGCGTCCATTCCTAATGGACGCGTCAAACATAAGGGAGGCGTCCAAATTTTATGGACGGCTGTCCCCAAAGTTTTTTTTTTATTTTCATATTTATTTATGGACGGGCGTCCTTTAAATGGGGACGCCGTCCCTTGTATAGGACGTCGCTCATATAATATGGATGGGCGTCCATGTGAGTGAACGGCCGTCCAAATTGATGGACGGCCGTTCACTAGAAAAAAATTGTTAAACAAATCAGATGCGTGTTACACGTAGGCCGGTACAACATTTTCGGTGTAAAATTTTTGGTGTCCCTAGTATGATGATTAATAAATTGACCAAAAGTTGGGGGATTTTACAAATCCTACATCTTTTTGCGTCCAAACAATGCCAATTTCTCGATTTTGCCCCTAAGATATTCCAAGTTGAACAAATCAATCTCAATGTAAATTTAATTTCAATACTGAATTGAATAATAATAATTCAGTTAAAATGATGGTAGAGTTCTTCCTTTGTTGAGGCATTGATCCAAAAACCAACTGCTCAGAGATGTGAAAGGTGAAGTATTGTCATTTGGGAGGGGGATATGGACAACCATGATTACATTCTTGCTAAGGTTATCAATCAGAAGGTGTTGAAGCAAAAGGAGCATCCTAAGTCACTAACGATTGAAGATGGTGAAAATGATGCAAACACACCTTTTATGTGTCTGAGAAGACTAATCGAAAATTGTATGGAAGGTACGGCAGACATTCATTGCTCAAATGTGGTAGGTTGTAAAACCATTTGAACACTTATGTGGGAAAGCTATTGAAAACCCACAATGCAATGTCAAGTGATCAAGCTTTCAAATGCATTAAGTAAAGAGATAAACACTCAATAATGAAGAAAAAAAAAAAAAACTCAAAGTAATTCAATTCATATAAATCGAATTATTGTATCAATGCCGCAAAAATAAATTTCTCTGCTTTCCTTCTCTTTCTTCGGTTCTTCCTTTCTCTTCATTTGTCGTCTCTTCATGTTCTTCCAACTCTTTTTCTTTCTGTTGAGGTTGCTTCAACACTGTACCACTCCTTAAAATGCTTGCCTTTACATGCTCTCTCAGATTGACAACAATTTTACTTGGCAATGAACCTTGAGATCTCTCTGACAATTGTTCAGATAACTACCCCACTTGAGTTTCCAAATTCTAAATGGATGCCTCTTGATTTCTAAAATTAGTTCTTGACTCATTCATGAAATTTGTTGTCTCATGCACAAATTTTCCAAACATTTCCACCAAATTGGGTTTCTTCTTTGGTTGTTGAAAGCTAGCTACCGGTCTCGATGCTCCTTGATTATTCCATAGGAAGTTAGGATGGTTCCTCCAACCTAGATTGTATGTGTTGGAATAGGGGTTGTTTGCGACCTTTGTGAACTCAACATGTAATTCACTTGCTTGCTTGTTGAGGTTGAGAATGGATCTCCAACTTGGTACTCCACACTTGCATGATTTCTTGCACAAAGTTCACAAGTTAGAATAGGTGATTGAATAGAATTAACATTCATAACTCTTAATTGCTTCTAAAGCGCTGAAATCTGAGCAGATAATGCAGTAAAAGCATCAACTTCATGTCAACCCATATTCCTCTTAGGCATTGTTCAATCATTGGGTCTTTGATAATTGTTACTCGCCAATACTCCAAGCAATTTATAAGCAGCTTCTAGTGTTTTGTTGTTCAATGCTCCTTCCGATGCATCATTCACCATAGCTTGAACATTCGGAAGCAAATCATTGTAAAAGGTTTGCACTTGCATCCAAATAGGTAATCCATGGTGTGGACACTTCCTCAACAATTCATTGTACTTCTCTCATGCTTCATATAATGACTCATTATTGCTCTGCACAAAGGAGGTAATATCATTTCTCATCTTCGCCGACTTCACTAATGGAAAGTACTTGGCAAGGAATTTCTACGCTAACTCATCTCATGTCGTAATAGTCCCTGCTAGTAGCAACATTAGCCAACCCTTAGCTTTATCTCTCAAAGAAAATGGAAATAACCTCAATCCGATGGCATCATCTATCACTCTATTATGCTTGAACGTATCACAAATCTCTAAAAAGTTTGCTATGTGCATATTTAGATCCTCACAAGTATTACCCCCAAACTAAACCTTATAATGACAAAAAATGATAGATTTTAAAATGTTAAATTACTAAAGTATCTTTGCTATATGAAAGAATGGACTCTGAACATTTGAAATGTAATGGAAAAATTTACTAATTGCTATACATATTGACATAAAGTGTACGAGAGAGCAGAGCTTTGAAAATTATTAATTCTTGTGATTGTTATAATGCTATATGGTTATTGCCTATTGGTATTGGCGGATTTTAGCGTTAAAAACCATGAAAATGCATTGGTTCAAGAACCCTTCCTTTAAAAAAAAATTAAAAAAATAAAAAATAAAAAAAGGCGTATCATGGTAATCCTTCAACAAAAAGAAAGAAAAAGAAAAAGCCTGAAATCCGTATATGTATGAACAAAAAGTACAAATCATATTATGTGCAAATCTATATACATGCACACACAAAAAAATATAATACCTCTGAAAAGCAATAATCAGACTTAAGATCCACAGTTGTCACTAGCTCCACATCTAGTACCCATTTCCTCCCCACCAAAATAACTTATAATGACCTTGCAAACTTTCTATCCCACTTTATGCATGCATCCTATCTAACACAAGAAAAACAATAGAATATTGAATGAATTTTACAAGAAAAATTGTACAAATATATATGAAAAAAACTTAGATTTACCTTTCATTCATTCTCGACATTATCATCATCGTTATAGTTTCGAGCATAGTTAGGATTGTAAACTTCCAATGACGGTTAATGAAACAACTCGCCCCATTGTCAAGATTTTTCAACTTTGGACACACAATCTTTCAAAGTTTTACCTTCTAGCCTTGCAGCCCAAAACCCGTCTTGACAACTTAGGAGCTTGCAAGCTATTTGACTAGCCTTCATCTTTCTTTCCCTAGCAATACTGGATCTTACATTCACACCCTTTTTGGACCCAACATCCTCACTGGCCATCCTAGGGTTAGGATTAAAATGTTCTGCATATCCTCAGTGATGGATCATCCACAAATTTTTGATTGGGATCGATTTTGATACCATTTGTAATGGTCTGACCTACTTTCAAGATATTGTCCACTTTTAAGGCATAATCTTTCATGGTTTTGTCTTTGGGATTTGTATCCCAAAATGCGTCTTGATTAGAATTTGACAAGGATATATATATGGATTACATCTTCTTATTGATATTTGAGATGTTTTGGATATTGTGAACGTTATTTCTCTTATACTGATGTGATTATGACTTTTGTGTTGATGTTCATGGATTCCGCTTTTCTTGGCTATTATTTATGTGGAAATCTTCTTGGCATTTCATCTCTTTTTTATCTCCTTGATTATTTGTGTGCTTAATTCAATAATGCTATGGACATCGGAACTGTGCACCGACTTCTTACACCGAATTACATATCACGTGACTCAGACCAACTACGTATCACATTAACAAATATTTTGCCTATTCATCAACTATGGACGACCATTCACTGTTATTGGACAGGAGTCCATCTCGTCCATGCAAAATGAACGATAGACTCCCGTCCATATAATATGGACGGGAGTCTATTTACTATGGACGGGTGTCCTCCTATAATGGACATCTGTCCATAGTTTAAATTTAAAAAATTTGAAAACAAAAATCATGGACTCCCGTCCATATTCGATGGACGGGGATCTATACTAATAAACAGGCGTCCATATTTAATGGACGCCCGTCCAAACTTTAAATTAAAAAAATTCTAAACAAAATTAATGGACACCCGTTCATATGTTATGGACGGTCGTCCCTGAATAATGGACAGGCGTCCACATATAATAGACCTTTGTCCATACTTTAAATTTAAAAAAAAAAATTATAAACAAAATTCAAGGACGCCCGTTCATATGTTATGGACGGTCATCCCTTAATAATAGACGGGCGTCCACATATAATGGACGTCCATCTATAATTTAAATAAAAAATACAAATAATAAAACATAATTTATGGATGCCCTTCCATATTATAAATTAAAAAAATAAATTATAAAAAAATTTATGAACGCCCATCCATATTTTATGGATGGGCGACCTTGATTAATGGACGGACGTCCTTATTAGATGGTCGCTCATCTATTGTTTAATGAGTAATTTAAATGGAATTTAGGTCAAATTAATTTGGGCCTGTTTTTTTAAATTAATTTGGGGCCCAAATTAATTTAAAAAAACAGCAAGCCGCTCTTCTTCTTCGTCTTCATTCCCCATCTCTGCTCTTCTTCTTCATTGAAGTTCTCATATGTCGCTCTTCTTCTTAGTCGAAGTTCCTCATCTGCTGCTATTTTTCTTCAAGTTCCGCATCTACCATTATTATTGTAAGTGTTTTAGTCTATTTGGTTTTTGTTAATCACGTTTTATTAGTTTTGATTGATGATTGAGCTTGTTTTACAGTGTTCACTCTTTGTCTTGGTTCCTCATCTACCACTCCAAGTCTTCAAAGCCATCTGCCATTTTTCGAGTAAGCGTTTCAGTTAATTTGGTTTGTGTTCATCATGCTTTATTGGGTTTGATTGATGATTGAGGTTGAGTGGCTAAGGTATGAAGTATTGGTTATGACAATTCCATTATGGAAAGCAATTGATGAATGTGTTAATATTGTCGTCGAAGCCATCTGCTATTTTTTAGTGTGTATTTTTTGATGCAAAATTTTGAATGAATTGCACTGAACAAATAATTGAAACCTGAAGTAGTTTATAATGTATAAAGTGTTTGATGCTTTCATCCTGATTGAACCAACGAGTTTTGCGAGTGAGTATAATAGAAGATCTTAATTGAATACATCACATATGGGTTCTATACATGAAAAGTCAAGCTAGTAGGAGAATCGGTTGAGTTGAGGTTATGGAATGCAGTGATGGGTATCAAGAAAAACTTCTTCTAACTATCCTTTGATAATTTGATTTCTACATTGCTCTAAACCTTGTTTTAAGTCCCATTCACAGTGCTTCTTTCGACATTTAGAAAATAGTTATTGTTTTTGTTTAGTCTTCCATAAATAACACATACCTAGCTATATATGGTAGAGATTTATGCACCTAAATAGAGAGGTAATGTAATGAATTTTATTCATCTAAATGTAAAAAAAAAAACTATTACAAATTTTAAAATAATCTGAAATGCCTCATAAATAATGAGGAAAAAACGAACTATCTTAAAAACAAGGAAATCAAAGTAGATGTAAGAGCCTACATTAATGAGCTTAATCACTTTCAATCTATATAAAAGAATAACCCTTTTCGCAATGCAAGATAAACAGCTAAAAATAATTGTCATCGTCTAAAGAAAGAAAGCAGAACGAAACCCAAACTATTCTCAAAACCGTATGTATTATTTTTATAACCTAATGGAAAGAAAAAGTATGCCATGTAACCTCAATGCAGTATCTTTAAAACGAATTTTTTTTTTTATATGGTAGAATTTTTATTTATGAGTCTCATAATTCATTATATATCCATCATGTTGTCGGGTAGGATCTCTGTCCATGTCCGTTTCATCATGAAACTCATCATATATGAAGGAAACATAGAAAGATCGTTTGATTGAGCAATCCTTTTGGGCAGCAGGAACATTAATATTGGCATGAGAGCAATAAATGAAGGGTGTTATAGGGTAACTTTTTATGAGATGATCTAACGTAACACAGACATAATAACTTTCTGTTGCTTATAGCTTATAATTATAGAAAATTTCGTAAATAATGAATTTGAAATTAAATGGAAGCTGCAAACAAAGTCAGAGAAATATGGAAACTTGTTTGGTGTTTGGTTCGGCAAAGAGACAGTACAGTTTGAATTCACTATTGGGTTGGGGGGAAAGATGACTAAAGCAACTGAGACCAAGAGATATCAAAACAAATACAAATTAGCAAGTCTTATCTCATTTCCCCATGCAAGATGAGCAAAAGAAAGAAATATAAGAGTTAAAAGAAAAGGAGTAAATGTTTGGTCTTCGTGGTTTCGGTACTATTCCAGGTAGCTATATCTTTAGTACCTATATCTTTTAGCATGAAGTGAATTAGAATAGGAAACATTCTTGTTGATGGGTAAGCTTGATTTTTCATATGCAATTCAACATGTATATGATGATGGCTTATCTTATTAACCATGTACATCATCTGTTGGTAGACTAACAGTAAGGGATTGTTGAGTAGGCATAATTATTCCCAATGGCATTATCCTTTTTAAGGTACTGAATTCTGTTGAGATATTAATTGTCCTTGCTTTTGACTGGCCTGAATGAAAGCACAATTTGATAAAATGATCAATCAGGCAGGCGAACTGATCAAACAAATTATTTCCACTATTTCCTTGGCTAAACCCCTTCCGTGCAGCTTGTATGATTTCTGTAGCTGCCTCCTCTCCTTGAAGGAACTGTGGATTTTGAAACCGCTGCCATAATCCATAAGGCTTGTTGCGAGTACATGAAGGAATAATACACATACCTGCATCTAAAGATGTTAGCCAACACCTACCATTTTGAAAATAATAAGAGCAGCAAAAGAAGCATATTTAACTATGTATAAAAGTAATATTCAGACACTATGAGAAATAAAGGAATCTTTACCTACCATTCTTATTGACACTATCGCATTTTTCAAACTTCTTTAGTTATGATTGATTATGATAATGAATTTAGTTATGACTGATTATGATGATGAATTTTTTATGTATACAGGTTTTAGAAGAAATCAGAAAATGGTGAAAGCAAAAAATACAACCATTCCTCATGAAGGCACATCGTCATCTGGAATCCAAT